AAAAAACACAGTTTTTAGTTAGTAGCATTATACCAGAATAAACTATTGACTTTGAAATGGCATATGTTTATTATATCGCAAGTTACTTTATTGTATCTGTCTCGTAAACATTATAGCCGTGGGAGGTTGAGAATGGATGATCATTCCAATACACCTCGTATTACTATTATTATTAATTCTCAAAATATTTCCCAAGGTTTACTTCGGATGATTCTGTCACCTACGACTCGAACGTTCGCACTATTAGTACACGCATAAAAAAATCCATGTTTTTGTTAATTTTCAATTACTGTTTTTATTATATTTTTTCATTTTATCCTATTTGTTGGAGACTACGTGACGAGCGAACGTCTTCAAAAGGCGAAGCATTTCGCTGAGGCGAAGCGCCGCCACGCCCGGATCGATCGCGTCTCGGACGCCCGGCGTCTGCACAGCGTCGCCGATGAAAAACCACGCCGCTCGTACTTTCCTCTTGAAACTGGCATTGTTGGGATCCTTTGTCTAGTTTCTTTCACTGCGCATTGAATCAATTGATTTGACATTGTGCCCAAAGATGTATGCAATCAGTAAGAGTGTAATAGGACTATTGAGCGACAAAAATGTGGTTGATACGGGAGATGCAAATATGAAAAGAAAACATTTTGAAAAAGAAATGAAAAGACTCTTTGAAATTCAGACACATACTTGTTCAAAAAAGCGCTATTAGTCTTCGAAATGTGGGTAACATTTGAAACGTTAAATAAAAAGCATTCAAACAATTACCACTTTTTGTCTTTTTCTTTCTTTGTTTTCTACCTCTCATTGTATTCCACTTCTTGTTTTGACTTGCTCTGTACCTTTGGCTAAAAAACTTATATTTATTCAGTTTACATCTCTTGGATAACTGCATTTGTAATCATTTGTTGAAATTAAAATTTCAGAAACATTTTTTCACAATTTCAATAATAAATGACCGAATTTTTCAGTTTGTTTTGGCGAGTACTTGTTTTTTGGCAGATGGTTATTAATACGTATAGACACCACCACTCGCAATATCGAAATTCCACAATACTGAAATATCGAATCACACCGCTCTCTCTGCATGAATAATTTAATAGATATCCAAGCATTTTATGGCACACATTTCATTTATGGATTATTATTATGATTATTGTTATTATTGAAACTACTAATTAATTTATTTTCTGTTGTTGCTTATTATGAACAGATCCATTGATAAAATAATGGGAAGTAAAAGTTGAATATTTATGTTAACACATGGAAGTAAAAAAATGTGAAACTGCAAGTTTGATACAAAAAAACGAGGTAGTCTATTTGGATGACTAATCAGAAGTAGTTATGAAAGCCCCCTATTCTAATCTTTGGAACTCTAAAAGTAATTTTGTTAAACTCAGATCTTCTACTAGTTAATGATCTTAGTCGTATTGAAATGAACCAAAAAGCGTCCTTCTTTGATGTATTCAATCCAAGTTACGAAAAACTTGTATATTAAAGTTAATCTTACTTGAAAATCACGTCATATTGTACCGAAGGATCGAGGTAAACTTTTGCTTATATTTCTTCAACAATGCACTTAATAGAAAAAGTTTCACACAAGAGTGATTAAGTTTCAAAAGACCTTTAACTTTTGTCATTAAAGTCTTTCTACCGAGAGGGATTCTGGAGTTATATTTTAAAAATGTGTTCTTGAAATATATTAAAGGTCAGCACGTGAATTCAAAGTAACCTAAGTGCTACATATAGGTTGTAAAAAGTGCATGTACCTCAATACTGCGAACAATCTAAACTGTTACTGCTGTTAAAACCACTATTTCAATTTACGACAAAAATACGTAAGAACTTTAAAAGTGTATGTCGTTACACAAAGCATTATTTTTCATCAGACGATTTGCATGAATTCTTGAAAATAATGAATTTTTGCATCATTGCACGAATGTGCCTTCCCAGAATACTGTTATCTCTGTATTATCAAAGTTACTCCTGAAAAGGAGTTGAAAACAAACCAATATAAAGCAAAAACCTCACCGACAAAGAATAAATTTAAAAAAGGTGAAAGTGGGCGTCGTTTCTTCTGGTTTCGGTTGCTCTTTAAAACGTTGATTGGCAATGTTTGATAGCATTGAAAGTTGACGTGATATGGCCGTCAGCAGAATACCACTTACGCATATTTTGTATTCCTTTCTTCTTAGACTTTATTTCTTCGCCTCTTCTCCTGCAGTTTTCCCCATTTTTCGTCTTGTATGTTCCTTTCTCCCGAAAGACTTTTCTCTTCTCTTCCAATGCTCAACGGCTCTGTATTCGTTCTAAGCGGCCATTCTCGAGCTCAGTAATTTTTACTTTCTCACATTCTACATACGTAGTATAAAGAAACAATTGTTAAGATGTACTTGAAACAGGAATTTTTCAACCAAAAAACTCGATTTGTGGATTCGTTGAAAATGTCGATAATTCTTGTTTCTATTTGTAGTAAATAATTTTACGTAGTTAGAACCCACGTTTTGTGAGCTTTGATGCTGGAATAGTGGACGCTGGAAGTTTTTGTAAACTATTTGTAAATAACAATCCCACGCTGAGTAGCTAGCTAGTTCACCTTTGAGGGTCGGTTGTATTTGCAGAGAGCCGCCTCGCAGCCCGCACATCCCCAGTGGCTGAACTTTCCTTGCCACAGCGGAGACGTGTGAAAGCGCTGGCTGGACGATCGAAGTGCGTTTCCCGAGAATCCTACTTTCGACGATACTATCTATCAATCCATCGATAATGAAAACCGACAATGGTTTTGACATGTGAACAAGAGACAAACAACTAAGAGTAAATGCATAAAGATCGAGATAATGAAGTAGAAGAAGAGAAATATCGAAGAAATAACGGAAGAGAAGGAAGAAAAAGGAGGCGTGAGATGAGCACTATAACAGCTTTGACAAGACGTGGGTCTTCTAAGGAAAATCCCGAACTAAATATTTCCACAAGTTTCATAAAAAACTGTGTACCATTCCAAATATTTGATGAATGAGTAGTTTTCGTGAAACAATGTAATTTCGTATTTAAATACTGGTTTTTAGAAGTAAATTCGTTTGAAATCCCTTCTGCGCGTACTTACAAAATTTACCGGGAAGAACACATAGTAATCAATAATTTACTCGATGCGTAATAAATAGTTATATTATATTTATTTTAAATATTAATTAAAACCCCTTTTTTATTTTTTATTTATTATATTAGTGTTAAATGAAAAAAGGGTCAAGTCAACATGAAATGAAATAACGAAATTAATCTAATTAAACTTCGGCGGTCGCACGTTACCGATAACAGAAATTGTAAGGCATGCCATCAGTTAACGGTTAAATAACTCTATTATACCCAATGTTAAATAATTAGTTTGAGTTTGATTATATTGTTAAGTAAAGTGTAACTTCAAGAAATATAAATATTGAAAGAGTTTGATACTACCAAAAATAAAAGTCAGCCACTGAATTTACTTATTTTATTGGAATTTGTGTTTAGTTTTTTAATGATTTATGGTAAAGTATGTGACGCTAGGCATTGCATTTAAGCGTTAGCTGCAGAAATGGTTGACTTCGTCACTCTTACTGCAGAGAGCGTGTGCTGATGTGAACGTGCCGCAATGTATGTACTACTTCGGGATTAAGTATGAAAGATACTGATTTTATAATTACAAGTACACGACCATCGGACTCCTTGTAGCACTATCTAGAGCTAACGGGGATCGGTGTATACAGTAGATGAAGAGCCCTTGCACATCAGGAAATCTCACATTCATGTTCTTCATTTTACTGTTCTACCGAATTTAAATATTCTCTCTAAATAAACAGGAATATTTATTTTATTTATATTGCCTTTATTTATAGTTTTATACACAATTTTCTATATTTTAATATATCTATTTCTATATTTCTATTCCTATTACATTGTTATCATAATTAGGGGCGCTTCTGGGGATTTAGCCCCTCCAGAAGCCAATTGTACATTTTTTTTAAAAAAAATATTGCTTTTACTTATTTGCTATAGTAGAACGTCATTCAAAAGGTCAATTCTTAATGTTATAAATCGTACCAATAAGTCAACAAATAAAAATAAATTTTATATTCAGCATAAATAAAATATTTTTTATAAGAAAACATCAACTGGACACTATGGACTATACTTGTAGCCCTATTCCTAGAACAATCCTTTTTTGCCCATATGCGTTCGTAGGCTTCCGCGGCAGGAGTCAATACATTCTTGTCTATCCGGGATGAGCCGCGTCTCGATCAATTGTGCTGACGTTTCGGCCATCTTACTGTGGTGTTCTTCAGAGCTATACAGCAGCAGTATAGCTCTGAAGAAGACCACAGCACGATAGCCGAAACTTCAGCACAATTGACTGAGGCTCAGTCCGGATAGCCCAGAATGTATGTGTTTTTTCCTGCTCCTCTTTTATAATTATTTTTAATAAAGAGCATTGTGTTAACACTAGTATTAACATTACATTTTGCATACATTTATCTATATCTGTTGTTTATAAATATAATACATAAATGCAATTTTATATACTTTTAAAAGTAGTGTGTTAGAATATAAATGATCACTTCCAAAATATACTTATAATAATGATAATTTACAAATGTCCAAATCGTAGGAGTACTGATCGATTATTATTTTGCTGTAGGATCATTTAATTTGCGGTTACCATTGTGACAATGTCGCTCTCGGAAGAAGAAAAATTATGTATCAATTATTCATCTTTACAGTAGGTACTGGATATAATTTCGCTCTTCGGCATTATACATTTATGAAACTCGCCATGCATTGAAAATGATTTAGAATGTTTTGTTTGATATTTTTTGGAATTTACTAATATATTGGTTATTCATTACGATTAATATTCACAAACACTGCCGTGTTGTAATTAAGGGAATAACAGTAATCAATAAGCTATACTTCACAGTAGACTCGTGCTAGTGTCAGTAACGGGGCATTTATCAATTTAAGCCGCGCTCTAGACGTACGTCCATCGGCTTCAAAGCAGCCGTGCGGCGCCGCGCGGCGGCCACGCCAATGGAAGAACGCGGCAGACCGAGAGGCAGAGACACAGGGAGTCAGACGGAGACAAAGGCAAAGACACAGCGAATCAGAAGGTGAGAGAGTGTGACCGTGTTTGTGTGAGAGACAAAAAGGGATGGGAGGGAGAGAGATAGGAAGAGAGAGATGTCTGTTCCCACATAATCCATCTGATTCTTCCCTTCTCTGCTCAACCTCTTCAGTCATCTTCGTCCTGTTCCATCTTTCCTCCTCTCTCTCTCTCTCCTCTCATTTTTTTTCATATCCCTCTATCGTTTCTCTTTCTTCCCTACCTCTCCTCTTTCCCTAGTCCTCCCCTCTTCTTCCAGCTGTTTCCTCAACCCAATCTCCTCTCTCTTTTCTCGTCCCACGTGTACTTTCTCTTCTCCCTCCTCCCTCCCAATTCCTTTGCATCCTTTCCATCCTCAATCTCACATTATTCATTCTCATCTCCCTTACCTCACCTTTCCATTATTCTACGTCCTTTTCCCTTCTCCCAGCTAAGTGGAAGTTACGGATTTCTTTGAGTTTCATTCATCGCATTTTCCTTTCCTTTTCACTCTACCTTTCGGCACTTTCTGCCAATTACATATCAGGAGAGCGACTCGTAACCCAGCGCTCAGTTTCTAGCATTTCGGCTCCGGATTTTAGCGCAAATCGTCCGGCGTCTTCCACAGGAATTTGTACATTCTTAACGAGTTTCGTCACAAGTTTATTCGGGGGGCTTCTAATTCTTTTGTCTTTTTATTCCACCCATTGCTTCATCATTATATTCAATACTCACATCAGATGTCATTAACTTAACATTTCAGTTATCATTACAGCGCTTCACTGAAACTTCTGAGTGGTCTGGTGAAAGGTAATTTCGCTTATACCCGCTGAAATCTTAAGATAGTTCAGCAGGGGGGTTAAGGTGGAATGTAGTTTTTGAGAAATATTTCTTGCAAAATACGCACTCACATATACGAAATTAGGATGAATAAGGTTTTTTTCACAATAGATGCATCATTCTATTGTAATAGAACACATATGACACTTAAAAAAGATGGTCTTTGTAATACTTGAGTTGCTGCTTGCTAGGCCCCGCTTGCACTCACAATGATATAGGCAGACAGGGCGTCGCAGTTAAAGCAGCAAAAGCATATCACAAATTATTTAAAGTTTATGGGTCCTTGGGAGCTAAGTCCCTTCAGAATACTGCAGGATGGTGGATCAGCACAAGTGAAAATGAAAGACAGAATATGTTTTAGCAAATGTCGAAGCAAGAGTCCTTTACTTACACAGAAATGAAGTTACACAGAAAACAAGTTACATCAAAGTGATGTGGAGACCTCCGTCCAAGTATACGGTAGCTCAGAGAGTCCCCCGGGCGGGGCCCATGGGCGTATTTTATAGTACTCAGGGCTTTGTTCATCATACGCTTCCACTTGGGTGGCACGTGGCCTCCCTTCCCCAAACATGACGTGGCCACAAGGCGTCGAAACGCCTCTCTTTGCTCATGCCTCTACTTCGGACATGTCGTCCGTCACCTTAAAGGCTTACTCAGCTGCGGGCTGCTAGCGGGTGGCCTCATGTCGCAAGAACCCACGTGCCTAAGTATTTATGTTAGTGGATACTTCCTAGTGGAATGCGTCATGATCAAAGCTCCTATAGAATATTAAAAAGTATGATTACAATTATTACAGTTACAATCATTACAGTTACAATCATTACATCTTGAAAATGAAATGTTGACTACACATCAAATTGGCAAACTGGTAAACCTTTATGTACTCAGACACGTAAATAGGAAATACATCACTGTTTATCGGAATGGAGTTAGTTTGCTTATGTAACCTTCCGCGATGTCGCAATGTAACTCTCTGAACAGTACAGTTCACAGTTAATAATTCGTTACACTCAGTTCGAGAACAATGCGAATAATACACCTAGGCGATTACCACACTATTACAAAAATACTTGGAGATAAATGCACACTTGTGCAATTGTGAAGATTGCCTTAAACCGGTCTTCACATTTCTTTGAAGCAATTAACTATTACGTGGGAAACGGCAGATCACTGTGCCGCGGAGACTAAAAATATTACTGCTGCGTGAAGCAAAAGCATTTTGGTTTGTGAATTGCCCAATGGAATGAGCGCATTTGAAATGTTCTGTAAGCTCCGAGTGGACAAATCGCCCCGTGGGCGATTCGCCGAACTCTGGCGTGCCGGCGCGTGGCAGCCGTGGGCGCAATACCCAGAACCGCTCGCTAAATGCACCCAAAAATATTTGTAAGAAAATCCAATAGATCGCAGCACTGCCACAGGGGAATTTACTTTACCGATAAAGTCTGAAGCTATGGTCCGATTTTCGATTGTAAGCGGCATTTGACGCCTTTTTAAAACATACGCTACGAAGCCCTTTTTCCAAAAACTGGCGAAAACTCGAATTTGAAATTGATGCTCGAACTCCCGAGAAAAATTTATAAAGGTGCGCTTATAGCGCGATGGCCAGATGTTTCCTGCATTCAACGCCGTGTCAATCATGCAAATCGGATGCGTCATCCACCGTTGAGGGCCCTCTCGGCGCGGCGGCACGGCCAGCCCGAGGGGCATGCGGCCAGCCTCGGCAGCCCGTTTATGCTTTCGTCACTTGGCGCTTCAATATATTTTCCCACACATATCAAACTAGAGATGCTGTAACAATAGGAAATGGTTTTGTATCATCTGTAATAATAGTATAAAACTATTTATGTAGTTCACATAGTAGATCTTCCTTTGAATATCATCATAAAATTGTTTGAGGCATTGCTCTAAATATCGATTGGATTTGGAACTGATTTCAAGTAGAAAATTGAACTAATTGTGTAAATAACACCAATATTCCATCGCCTCACATCTTATTTTACATACATTTTACTTCTAAGATCTTCCTTTATCATTCCTCTACCGGAAAGAATGAGCAGATATTACCTACGAGCACTTTTATCCTACGACTCGATATTTAATCCTAAAACGGCGTTTGTCTCCTTGATAGAATTCACTTTGTGATTTTTTTCCTAAGAAAAAAAAATCTGAAACTAATTTTAAAAATGGTTTCATACTTTCGGCCAAATATGAAAAAGTGGTAAAATAGATGGTGTAGATTATTTTACAACACTTGACTCTTACTACCATATTACCTTAATCGATTAAATTTGATACAAAAGTTTAAGTCCCCCCAAAAATATTTTCTTCTGCACAACTTGTTTCTATACAATTAGAGACTATAACGAGGATCCAATAGGAAAGTAATATTCATTTTAAGAGTGACATATAATGTAATATTTACCATTTGGACTGAATCATTTTAAAGTACCTGTAACAATTATTGTACTTCAACTTCTGAGTAAATTACTCTCGATCAGGTTTTCGTCTAGTTTCCCTGATTCTTGAGCAAATACGGACATGGCTACTTGTTTTACTTCTGTACATACATATAACTTCAAATTAAGTCCTGCACGTTTGACCTTCTCCTCGTAGCACGCTACACACAGTTTTTTTTAACTGTTTTAACGAAAATAAAAAAAATAATTGTTGTCTTTGCTACCCTCTAAATCCGAATCACGAAGAGGGCACGATGATAATTCTGCGAGTTTTTTTTCAAACAATGGCAGAATGTACACGTGTAAGACTGCGGGTATCAAAAATATTTTTGAACGTAGGGATAGGCTGTTCGGAGCAATGACGCGTATTTGTTGGCGCCCGCCCTAGTAAAGCGACGTCTGTGAGAATCCCTTCTTAGCACCTGCAAGCCCCAATCCTTCGCAGCGGCTGCACGAGCAGAGAAATTGAATGCATGAAAGAAACGCAATTAAAGGGCTCCATTGTAATAATATGCACGATCTATTGGAGAAAAACGAAAGTAAAGTCCTTTTTGTATTTCATGAAACTGTTACCATCACTTTAAAATCTTTTGATTCTCCTACAATAATAACATTTGTGATTATTCATCTTTTTATGTGAGGCCAAAAATCTTCATTAATTCTGCGCGTCTGATTCTATCTGACCACCACGGTTGTTAAAACACCATGTAGGTTGTTGTTCCGTGGCACCCATACGCGACGGACAGTCGTTCCCTTCACCGTCACCCGCCGCAAAGAGGGTAAATTTCGCATTTCCGTTATAAAGTGGTATCTGAAGAGCAACAAAATTTATTTTTTCTATTCCAGCATTATAAAATAACCTTTTCTGTTGCAAGAAATCGTTCATTATCGGGCGTTTTACACCAAAAATGATAACGTATTAAATTTTATGTTACGAATGATTGCGTCATCACACATTCAGCCAATCATAGCGATAGCATGGGGGGAGAACGGAACAGCCGACAACCGTTTACTTGCACGATGTCAAATACCCGAGTCGACACAGGGAATTTGTTTCGCAAAATTAAGTTTGATTCTCTTATGAATGTATAATGATGTTATACAAAACAAATGTAGTATGCAACTCATTTATAATGTTGCTTTATTTCATTCGTACAAATTTGAAAACTCGCTCCTAAAGTCGCTCGTTTTCAAAACGTACTCATGCAATAAAGCTTAACATTATAAACTAATTGCATAAACTACTATTTCGGGTACTACTGGGCAACAAAAGAGCGTCAAATTCCCATGTAATTATATGTTTTTATTGATCTTTGTAAACTTCATTTTCTGGTTCTTGCGGTGATAACGGGATGTCCAGTTTGCCAAAAGTTTATAGCAGGGTCAAATGAAGAGCGACAATTTTTTTGCGAAACAAATTGGTAACAAAAATGCGACAAATTTTGAGTTTAATTACATTTTTTTAAACTTTGCTATGCTAATTTTACGAACCTCGTGAAGAGGAGGTCCTGTTACGCGGCACTGGAACTGTGGTTCGCAAATTGGCAACATTGCGAATGAACTTACAAAGTTCACTAATACTGATTGGCTCGCTTGCTCGCTGTCCTTTTTTGCTTTGTACTTTCCGCTCCATCTTCGCTACCGCTACTACTGATCATTCTTTAGTAACCAAATCAGTTTACGGGACGTATTTGAAGGAAGACCGGGTAAAAATTGGATTTATTTGGAAACACACTCGTACACTTTTTCAAGATAAATTCAGTTCTATACTTCAGTTATAGAGGATACGAGAACGTCTGCCCCAATTATAGTAGTGTGATTTGTGAAATAAAATAAAATAGTGATGCTATATGGAATGGCACAGACTTTCTCGAACTAGTTCGTTTCCTTATTTCTTTGTTCAGGCTGTATTTTCGGTTTTACTCCACCCTCTTCACAACTGCCATCCATTGCCACCTAAAGATATTTTGTTCACATTTTTTTCAATTTTTCTTATCCCCAAGTATAGAACCGAATCATGACTTTACAAATACTATATTCATATAAAACCTCGTCATACATGTGCATTTTTGTTGAAAAATGTAAGAAACTAATGTTTGAGTGTATCTAAAAATGCAGAACTGCGAGCTCAATTTCTCAGAATACTTTTCAATTTTCCAAGAACGCTGTGAGTAGTCAATTTTCTAAGAACGCCGGATTTTTATGTAATTACATATTTTTTGTATTTCTACTTACCGATCTAAAAATTTTAATTTTGGCGAATCGTCGCCATCCTAACACAATATCAACATTTTGCGTTACATATTTTTACATATTTAGTGCTATATTACGTATTTTTCTATTTTCGCATAATATGTTTTATTCTATCAATTTTCTGAATCATTTTTATGAAAAGAAGTATTAAAAAAAATACTCTTAGTTTCTACATCGTTACTGCGTGCTGCCTACTCGAGGTTTGCTACATGAAGACGCGGTTAGATGTTCTCACAGTCCTGCTTGTGTGCATCAGTTATC